CACTTACCACCTATGTGTGGGGGTGTATTGCTGCACCCATTTAAACTGAGTTTTTATAAGTTTCCTTATAAGCGATCGTGTTAAAATGACTGAACTTCGAAATTCAATATCTCGGAAACGAAACAGACGAACCTCTTGAAGATTTAACAGCTTAATTGTAACAACAATAATAACGTGTGGTTAAAATTTAAAAAAAATTCATCACAGGATTCTATCTCTACCGAACGTCCTTAATGTACTATATTAACGACCAACGATCTAATATGATTTTTTACGATAAATTTCTAACTTTTCCATGCTAGAAACACAATTTTTATTGTAATATTATCACAAAACTAGAAGCTCAAAACCTGAAAAAATACAAACCTGATCCTTTAATATTAGAGACCAATTTTAATTTATCTTAAAACATTTTAAAATAATAAATTGTGTGCTATTCTTCGGGGAAATAAAATAATGTACCATTTTTATTTTTGAGCACAATATCATCCAATACTCAAGATTATGATAAAAATTGCAAAGACCAGCAGCACTAGTACTGTTTATACCAAAAAAAGTCATAGATAACTATTTACTATCCGCGTTTGATCTCTTTATATAATTTCGTACTTTATTAGCATAGACATCCATAACAATAATTTTTTTAAGAATTTCCTTTATAATTTTCTTAAGTATTCTGATAAGAATTTACTTAATAAATTTGTCAAAAAATTTGTCAAGAATTTTCTCAAGAATTTTCTTAAGAATCTTCTTGAAAATTATCTCAAGAGTAAATAAAAATACCATGTAGTCATAGCAATGGGCAATCTTCTGATTGGTGGGAAAAATGTCTATGACTCGTCAAAAGTCAATATTACCTCGTTTGATTTTGTTAAAATACGAGTACTGGACAGTATTATAGTACTAGTGTCATACAAAATGTATGTCAAAAAAAAAAGCTTTACTGTTTTTATATTGTGATTTCAGAACTTTTCAAGCCTATAGATTTATTAGAAAGAATAATATTCATTGCCTGCAGTGCAAAAAGGTTTTCAAAATTCTTTACAAAATATGAACTTAACACATTAATCTTACCTAACATTATGTTTTGTTAAAAGGTATTTTTATGGGGATTCCATCTACTTCGCGTTCGTTAGTAATGCGATATTCAATACAATATTCGATATTTCACGAGACTTTGATTTTCGATAACGGAAAATGATAAAAACTCGCTTCTCAATAGAGGGTGCAATTACATGGAGGTAGGTGAGAGACGTCCTACTAGTTTAGGCAAGCCATGCGTAGCTGTTTTGATTTCAAATACTTATGACTTTAGGATAACTTTTGTCCAACATCCGCGTTGCATATTTATATTTCTTTTTTGAAATTATTTAAATACCAAAAAAAAATTAAAGTGATGTATTAAAAAAGTTATAAGGGAGCTTAAAAACAATTAATGCTACTGTTGCTGGGATGGATCGTAAGGTAAATATAACCCCAAAGTTGCCAAATGTAAAATTTTTTGTAGGCCGTATAGCTAAAGATTATTGATTAAACGATTAAACCCATCTGATCTGCATCGTTGTTTGAAATTTACCTGCAAAAAATGTTTTTATGCAGTTATGCCAGAGCAATTAAGGGAACATTAGTGTAACCCTACCAATCATCCCGCTTTAGGTGGGACAGTCCCGCTTTTTTGACCTCTGTCCCGCTTTGAAATTTGTCTTGAAAAATTTTCCACTTTTTGAGATTTGTTCTCATTGTCCCGCTTTTTCTACGCCAGCAAATTTTTTTTTAAATTTAAATGGGTGCGGCAATACACCCCCACACATAGGTGGTAAGTGGGTGGCCCCGATGACTAGGCCAGTAGTCTGTCATGGTAACCCGGAAAAAAAAAAAAAGTTTCAAGTTGTACTCAGTGATGTGGATTTACTGGTCAGAAAAAAATTGTCTGGCGTCAACGTATTTTTTACCGTAATTTTACCGTACTTAATTAACAGTAAGGTATTTTTGGTTTTTTAATTAAGAAAGATCGTAAAAAAATTTTCTGACCGGTAATTTGTAAAGTAACCTAAAAATTAAAGAAAAATTTTGTCACAACAGTAAAAAATACAGTAAGTTTGTGATTGACTGATTTTATTTATTTATTCAATACTCAATAGATCAACGTGTTTTTGAAATTACAGTGTAATATAATGATATATTACAAATGAAATACTAATTTTAATTAAAATACTGACTTTTTTAAAGATCTTTATAAAATAACATGGTATAATAAAGTAACTATATAATTTTTTTAATCAGAATACTTAAATTCTTCTTCATTTGTTGTTAAATGTTATCAAGAAAATTTACATTGGCTAAGCCTTCTTGGATCATACTTTCAACTTCATCTATCTCATCTTCATCACAAGAACATGACGGATCAGGCTTTAAAATTCTTAAATTATGTGCAACGTAGGTGATTTTAAAAGCTCTTTTATTTATCAATCGATTTCTTTTGTTGCTATGGATCCAGGCATGTGTACTAAAAAAGCGCTTAGTAGCCGCAAAACTACACGGCAAATTCAAAATATTTACCGCAATTTTACTTATAGAAGTTACTTTAAATGCCCTCTTTCAGCATAGTATATTTGGCAAAACATTAAGAAATTCTTTTACAAACTGTGAACTCTTCAATTTTTTGCTTGAGTTAATTAAATTTTTTCGCTACGTTTTGTCATTAATTCTGCTGCAAGTTAGTATTGTCTTTGATTTAAAAACTTGCCACGGAATTTGGGATCCAATAAATTAGATCTAAAGCCATAGTTACACGAGCAGCTGATTTTATTTATAAAGTTCGTTTCTTTAGAGTTCAACAAAGATAAAACACTATTTGACTCTCACGTATATCGATGCGAAAGTTTTACCGTCACAAAATTTTTTTACCGCTCAGCGTAAACTTGCGGTAAATAGTAGAAAAAATTATTCAGTAAATTAACGGTAATTACCATAAATTCACGCGTAAGTTTCCCAGTACGAACTCACACTACTGGTTATACTAAAACTACAAATACCTGAATAATCCTCCATGGAAGATTATGTAAAAATTCATAGCTAATCCCCATTACATTTAGTTGATTATTGTCTGTAAAAAAATTGCTTAGTTTGCCTAGACAAAATTCTAACATACAAATAAAACTTCAATTGGAAAAAGTAAGTGAAAAAGTTTTAAAAATCGGAGATATCTCAATTTGACTGTTCATTTATATCTTTGAGCACAGTACCATCTAAAACTGGGGATCATGATAAAAATTGCACAAACCAGCAGTACTACTACTGTTTATACCAAAAAAAATCATAGATAACTATTTACTATCTGCATTCGATCTCTTTATGTAATTTTGTACTTTATTAGAATGGGAATCCATAACACTAATTTTTTCAAGAACTTTCTCAAGAATTTTTTTGAGAATTTTCTTGAGAATTTTCTCAAGAATTTCCTTGAGAATTTTCTCAAGTATTTCCTTAAGAATTTTCTTGAGTATTTTCTTAAGAATTTATTTAAGAATTTTCTCAAAAAATACCTCAAGAATTTTCTTAAGAATCTGCTTGAGAATTATCTCAAGAGTAAATAAAAATACCATGTTGTCATAGCAATGGGCAATCTTCTGATTGGTGGGTCCAATGTCGTTTGGGCAAAATGTCTATGACTCCTTTTAACTAGTACTTCGTACAAACTTTTTATCAAATACATTCATGCCTTGCTATGTTGAAAGTATATGAAAATATTGAGGCAAAAGTTAATATTACCTTATTTGATTTAGTTCAATTACGAGTTCTAAACAGTATTATACTACGAGTGTCATACAAAAAAATGTATGTTGCACAAAAAAAAAACTTTACCATTTTTATGTTTTGATTTCAGAACTTCTTAAGGCTACTGATTCATTAGAAAGCCAACTATTCATTTCCAGTTTATATAGGCTTCAGAAATTCTTTACAAAATATGAGCTAGACACATAAAAATTACCTAAAATTTAAGTTTTGTTAAAAGGTATTTTTATGGGGATATCATATTAACTTGTAAGGAAAGTACCATTTCAAAATTTTCTTCTTTTTTTACTTGACTTGAAATAGAAATTTTTTACGTCACTAGTGCTCCGAAAGTGAAAATTACCACCCAGGATTTTTTACTCCCTAAGAACTAGAAGACAGTAAAATCGTATGAGGTGAAGCTGAGGTGAAATCTGCAACATTCTTAACCTGGCTTAACCTGGCTTAACCTTACTAGGGGCGTAAATAGCTGTATATTAATGATAATTTATTAGAGCTGGATTTACATAGTATAATTTCCAAACTTTACCAGTGCACCCGCAAATCAAAGCTCTTCTGCACTTTTAGGGTGTTTTAAAAAATTTCATGAACCGATCAGTAAAAAGAAGAATAGAAAAAGACAAAAAGCTATGTACCTAAGCACAAGTCATACAATTAACTTGGGTATCATGCTGCCTTACTGTCAGCTGACAATAAACTGCACCATAAGTACCTCTACTTGTGTCAGTTAAAAGCAGTCAAGACAAAAGAAAACAAAGTTAGCCTTATGGAAAGCGGTAGAGAGAGGTGGATACAAAAAAAGAAGTAGACAGTAAAAAGAAAGAGTAGCAAGAGAGAGAGAGAGAGGGAGAGAGAGAGAAAGAAAACAGAAGAACATAAAAAACAAGCAAAGTGGGCATTAGATCAGTGCCTTAGTCACAAAAGTCATTGCCGTCTCACGCACCGTCCTGGAGAGGGAGACGGCATGGGCACTGGGAATTGGCAGGGGAGCTGCATGCAATACGTGTGTTTTGGCCTTGTATATAAAGCCTCTCTGCCAGCATATGTACGCACCTTTGCAGTGTGCACGTATGGTATAAGGCTACGTAGAGCGTTGAAAAGTAGTTTTGATTAAAGACTGATTGCTCACGGAACCCACTCTAAATTAGTTATCACGTGCCCTCACTTGCATAGCTTGGCATACATCAATCACGATTTTAAAGATCATGAGGTATTTGATGGGTTTACTCCTATTAGGAATAATTTTGACGACCATTGCACAAAGCCAAAAGGACGGCAATATATGGAGCTGTGTTTACGAATCAAATGGCCTAGCATGCGCAAGCACGAGGGTGGCCAGCGAGCTTGACGGGATTGAGCGGGAGATCACGAGCAGAAGCACTGAAATCTCTATAAACAAAATTATCGAGGAGGGTGGTAATCTGCTAGCTCACAGTATTCAGGCCATTTTTGGCTTCCAAGAGGAACAGAAGGAGCAGGAAGAGCAGAAGAAGAAGTACGAGATCGCAGACGAATTGAGCTTCGAAATTGGTGAGTGACGATTTCATTACCGATTGACCGTACTACTGGCTCTACAGTTGGACAGTTTGTGTTACTGTGTTTTTTTAAACTTCGATCTTTTATGCATGGATGATTTGATAAAATCTGAGTTGCGCACTTTAGTATTTAATATTTATTATAATGACAACAGTGGTTTTCTTTTTGGTGGATTAAATCATATTTCGATTTAATATTATGACATAAAAATTGTTTGAAAAAATAGAAGTGCACTGATAAAAAGTAAAGCTTTTTCGTAATACCAAGAAAAACAATACACGAATTTTATCTGTAAAAAACTGTGCAGTTATAATTAACGCTTAACATATCTTACGTACAGTGTGTTTACTATCACTTAACAGTAATTTTTTTGTAGATAAAAATATATCTCATGAGCAATATTATTCACCGTACAGCTACGGTAATTCTTCCTCTGAAGAAAAACATGACGTCAAACGTTAATAACGGTTCTATAATTGATACGACAGTTATTAAATAATTAAGGTTATGAATAAGATAAGGGTATGTGATATCAACATATTATTAACGTTCAATGTCATATCATTCTTTTAGTCGTCGAGTCGTAATTTCTTGGTTCTAAATTTATCGTTGTTTTTGATGTTAAAATTAAGCATATAACTTTCTTCCACGTAAAATTATCGTACACAAGGGCTGACTGTTTATTATCTCTCATGACATTTATAATAATATATAAACATTTATTTTTAAAAAAGGTTGACCTTCTAGTATTGTTTTTTATTTTCACATCAAAATTCACTTAATACGTCATTGACTAGAAATGTTTTATTTATAATAAAACATTTAAATAATTAGATCAATTAATTATTGGACCGTCTGTTCTCTTCATTTAATATTACACAATTTTTCTAAATTTTTTTCAACATCTGCTAGCAAGCATTACCAGATAACCAGCTAAAGTATTTACGAGTCACTTTATAAGTTACCAAATTATCAATTTTAATACGAGCGCTAATCACCTGATAACCTGAAGCATATGTAGTGGCCGTTTTATAAATTAATAAAGTACGATTTAACAACACAAGCATCAATCACCATGTAACTTGAAATGCCACACATTTTTAATTTTATAAATTTTTTTTTCCTGCCACCAATTCTTGAAAAAAAAAAAAAAAAAGAAAAAAAAGTTTCCAAAGAGATTTAAACCC